TATATATATATATATAGAGAGAGAGAGAGAGAGAGAGTGGTAGTTTCAAATATTCTAACTAATTTATGTGTGGTTGTAGGAATTATTATAGACCAACCATTTCAAATTTAGTTAATTTTAAATTTATTTAATAGATAAGGGTAGAATAGTAATATTTTATATTTAGTAAATAATATCCTTAATTATAACCCCATTTTTTATGGAAACAATTAAATAGCTTAAGCCATAAGTGGTTTCTACTCGTCTCAACTTTTATTTCGTTTGTTTTCATTTATATAAAAGTCAAATTTTATACGTTTTTTGTGCCCAAGTATATACAGTCTAGTGCAAAAGTGTCATGATCGTATACGTTTTTATACCGTTATAAAATACGTTTTTTTATACATCATAAAACGTCATATGTTTTTTAACATCATACCGACCAATATGTCTATGAGGAAATTGGTAAGGCCTGATGATCATTTGAAAATGGGAAGTACTGGTGTTTCTAGTACTTCTATGGTTGATTTTAAGAATGGGATGGGTTCTTTGAAGAATGCAGGGAATGATAATGGGATGGGTAATGTTAGAAAGGAGGAATCTATGAAATCTCAGGCAGTTGAGGGGGAAATTGCCAACAAATCTGTTCTAGTTCAATGATGGCTATTGGAGTTTGGAATATTAGGGGTTTAAATAAATCCATTAAGCAAAAGGAGGTTATTGAGGTTATTAAAAGTAATTATCTTGGGATATGTGCAGTAGTGGAGTCTCATGTGAATGCTTTGAATCTAAAAAAGGTGTGTTCCAAAACTTTTGGTGAATGGGAATGGGTGTCAAATTCTATTTGTTGTGTTGCTGGTACTAGAATCATAATTGGTTGGAATCCTAAGATTTTTGATGTGATGGTGGCTTCTCAATCCAATCAAGTTATACATTGTTATGTTAGATTTATTGATTCTAACTATAACATGTATCTTTCTTTTATATATGCTGCTACGAATTATATAGAAAGGAGGAACCTATGGGATAATTTGGTGATGCATATATCTGTTGTTAAGGATTATGCGTGGGGAATTTTGGGTGACTTCAATGTGGCAATGAAACCTTCAGAATATTCTGAGTGTTCTTCTAGAATTCCAGAAGGGGTTGCTGATTTTATAGATTAACATTGAAGTCGAGGATATAAATTATACTGGGTTTCAGTTCACTTGGACCAAATCTCCTAATGGAAATAAGGGTATTATGAAGAAATTAGATCGAGTCATGGCTAACTTGAAGTTTATGGTGGATTTCCCTATGGCTCAAGCTGTCTTTAAACCTTATCGGATATCGGATCATTGTCCAGCTATTCTGAATATTCCGATGTGCAAACCTAGATGGAAGCCGTTTTTTAGATTTGCTAATTTCATTGCTGGAA